CGACCCAGCCTGCATTCCCATGTTGTGTGGCCCTAAACGCTGTTCACTAGGATACGGTTCCACCGCTCCGGGCGAGACAGTCAGCTTATCTCCTGGGCTCCACGCTGAGCAGACAGGACAGCGTTTGCCTATCTCAGCTTGCTGAGTGTCTGGCAGCAAGTGTAGCTGTCTCGGTGTCTCCAGCGTGAATGAAAGAAGCAATGCAGCTCCAGCTCTGTTCTCACTGGTAATATCTACTGGAGAGCAAGCCAAAGCCCAAGTCAGGGCCGTTACCCTGGCCCTGCCTTCCTGCTTCTCACATTCACGTTATCTCTGTGAACTGTCGAGAGAATTAAGGAGTCAGAAATCAGCTTCAAAGAACATCAGAATGAAAATATGATCTCATGCGAGGGGTGCTTTCATGCACTTCCACCCTCTTTAGATTTCTCGGGGTGGAGAAGGGATGAAGAAGATGGGGCTTCGCATCTCTGGGCTGTATGGTTTGATAAAGAAGAGACGGTGGTCGATGTGATGCAGTGCTTGTGCCACTTCTCCTACTCCTCCTTTGCAACAGCGAGGGAGAGCTCATCCCCTTCCTTGGGGATGCCTTGCTGCTGGAGCTGATGAGCAGTGAGATGCATGCTCTGACAGGACAAGCTGCTTGCATGTATCCCCCTTTTTCCTTCAGGACTTGTGTTCCCGTATAAAAGTCTATCTCGCTTCAAATTTGCTTTCCTGTGCTCAGGGCTCTCGGCAGGACAGGACTATGGCCCATGCCTGCAGTGCTGGTGCTTCACGGTGTCCCTGTGAACTTTAGAAGGAGCCAGAACTTAAATTCTCTGCAGGAGTATCTTCTAGTTACACCGTGTTCCTGTGAACATCAGTGCTGCAAACCAGCCCAATCACGGCCATAATTATTTCAAGAAATAATGCTTTGCATGAAAAATAGTGGAGGGTATCTGTTGCTAGCCTGCTCGCCTCATGTCTCGTTCAGCCCTATGGCTGTAGCGAAGCAATGTTGTTGGGGTGCGTGGACAGGAATCAAAGCTCAGCTTTGAAACTTGGATGAACTTTTCTAGACGCTATTTGGCAAGACATGACCAGTTCCGGTCACCGCAGTAATGACGTTGGATAAGTTGCTGATGGAGGGAAGCAAACGGAGTTGAACTCAAGCTCCTTCCTACTAATGCTTTGACAGAGAGGTACAAAGAGGTGTAACTAATCCCTCACTGCTACGCAGAGCTAAGGACTGCGAGGGGAAATCACTGCAGAAGCTGAGGCAGCGTTTCAGCTGGTACAGAATGCTCTTCCAGCTGATGCCCTGAGGACTGTCTTACTTCGAGACAGTCGCTTTGCTGACAGTAACAGTATTTCAAATAGCTGAGAGCTGCAAGTCCTGACTTCTGTCTAGGCTGGGGCCTGGGACAGCCCTTCGGGAAGGCAGAGAGAATCTTTCCTTGATTTGTCTTTTTCTTTTTTGCCCCTCTCTCCTTCTCTAAGCAATGTTAAATTTCCTTTGTGCCTTAGGAAACACTGTGGAGAGGGATCCTCTGTGTTTTAACACAAAATAGACAGCCTGCCCTTCCCTTTGGCACAGGGATCCCAAAGGCTGAGCTAAATGAGTATGTTCCTCGCAGGGAAGTATCCGTTTGGTCGGGAAGGGTAATTGCAGGAGGTAGATGGAAGCAAACGGCGTTGGCTCTCTGGCTCTGGCAGCGTTTGCGGTGGGAATGCTGTCCACGTGAGCCTTTCTGTGGGCTGAGGGTGGGCTTCCCGCGCAATCCCCGTCCTCCGACAGCAGCCACGAGAGGGTTCCTTGGCTGCTCTGCCCGCGTTTCGCTGCGGAGATTATCCTGCAGAGTTGCAGTGAGGCTAAACCACACGGTGAAAAAAACGCCAAACTATTTCTGTTCTGGCCCTAAGCTAGGCTGTATTTTCAACAAGGAATGGGTAACGGGAGGAGAGGCTTGTCTTGCTTTTTAATTACAATCCTTGGGACTTGCAGCTGCAGCGGGAAGCAGAAAAGGCCTCGGGAATAATTATTCAGGATTAAGATCCTGAGTTCTCCCTCCCTCCCTCCAGACTGTCAGGGTGCAGCTGAGGCACGACGGCTGACCCTGATGATCTGACTGATGTGCAGGGGTCACAGCTCAATTGCACCGGGGACGGGGGGAGAGCTGCTGAATGCCAGATTCTGGCAGAGCTTAGAAACTCCACCGGGGAGGCTGTAAAAACAGAAGCAAGCACAGGAAATAATAACCAATAAGCAGGGCTTCCGATACAATCATGTTCTCATTTTGGTGTCAAGCAACAGGCCAGGAACGAAGGGAAAAAATACCATTCCCCTTCCTTTTTTGGCAATAATGGCTTGTAACCTCAGAGGAATCTCCAGCCTTTAGGGTCTGGCTCGACATTTTCTCACTCCACCTGGCTCACTCTCATAAACACCCTGCTGAGCGCTTGCTCTCTCCACAAAACGGCCGGAGAGACGTCTTTCAGATCTCACCCTCGTCTGGCGCTCACAGAGAACTGCGAGTTTCTTCATGGATGGGTTTCTCCATGATGCCCAGACACTGTCGAACTGATTTCCTTAAAAAGGCATGTTTAAATATTGGAGAAAACTATAGGTTGTTCTGAATGCCTTGCTTAACCCCACTGAAGAACAGCTTTCCTTGTCCCCAGAGCAGCCTGCCGGCTTCCAACAAATATACACAGGAACTGAATGGGAGGAAGAGCATGCCCCGAGGACAGCATCCATGCTGAGGTATAAATAGCTTCATTTCGCCGGGGCCAAGGGACTTCCGCAGCCTGGCAGGCCAGATCCCAGCAGGCACTCGCGAGCTTGTCGCCTGCACCGCTGCGGCAGAGCCCTGCTTTGGGCTGGAGGAGAGCTGGCTGGCTGGGACACGGACCAGAGGGATCCTCACCGACTTGCCTTTCTCGCTACTTGTGCACAGGACAAGCTGGTTCATGTTCTACCCACTTTCCCTTTTAAAGCACGGGAGGCTGAGGAAGAGGAGCAGGGAAGGCGTGTGGCACAATTAAATTGCATCTGAGAAAGGATGGTCTCAGAGGGTGAATTATAGCGAATGGCCATCCAGAGCTGTTTTTCAACACGGCAGTCTCAGGCGAGCAAGCGGACATCCTGCAATTTTATTTTTTTTTTTTAGATTAGCACCATTCCAAGTGCATCGCTGGCAAACGTTTCATAACTTGAGATATTTTTCTTAAGGAAAATGCTCAGGCGGTCCCAAAAGATCCGTAACGTTTCCTGCACGTGCTCTCACCTTAGAGTAATGAAGCCAGCCAGGGCACTGAATCAGGACAGAGAATTGAGTTTTCAGTGCACTGTTTCCTGAAGCGTAGGCATTGGGCTGGGTTCACAATATTAGATGTGGGGCATCTGAGCCGGGTGTAATGAGAAAAGGAAACAGCTCAGCACAAGAACTAGGGTGGATAAAGCAACCAGGGCTTAGAGTAACAAGAAAAAATCAGAGAAAGGAAATAGAAAGGGGGGAAAAAAATGACTGCAGGAACTAACAAGTAACAGCAAAAAGCTACTTTCTGATTAGAGGAAGACTTGCTGGGAAGGCAGGATAAGGGTAGAAAGGGACTATTTTCGACAGACATAATAAAGAGGCAGGAACAATGTCACCCACACAAATCAAACAGGTGTGTTCACCAAGTTGTGCCGAAGTTGAACTTGGAGCTGGGTGAGCCTCTCACATTTCTCTTGGGATGGGCATCGCTTCTCCTGATGGAATTATGGAATCATGGAATCATGGAGTCATGGCATGGTTTAGACTGAAAGGGATTTTAAAGATCATCAAGTTCCAAGCACTCTGGCATGGGCAGGGACTGCCCCCAGCCCAGGTTGCTCAAAGCCCTGTCCAACCCAGCCTTTGACACTTCCAGGGAGGGGACCGTCCCCTGGCACTGTCAGTCAGGGCTGCCCAGCAGACACATGTTTTGTGTAGAGCTGAACTGTTCAAAAATGGTCAGACAATCCCATCACCTCACTAGCGTTTGTTTTAGTGAGAGAATCCAAAGAATCGCATTTTAACATTCACTAGAGCAATGAAATGAATTCATTTTCATAAGCCTGTACAGCTCCACTGGAGTTCGTGTCATCCCCTGTTCAAGACACTGAAAGTCAGCTCCTTTGTCTGACTCCTCACAATCGCAGTTTGGAAGACCCAAGATGATTCAGTGCTTTAGTAATGCATTTGTCAAGTAGATTTGAAAAAAAACAGCGGCATTTGCGGGGAATATTCTTCTGACAAAACTTCATATTACTGAAATGCTTGTTCAGTGTGTTATGTTCACTTAATCGCAGAGGACCACACTGCTCTGAAGTTTCTGCTTCCATTTATTGTTAGACCCGAACTCAATGTTTCTGACACATGGGGGAGAGGCAGCTCAAAGAGGAAAAAAATGAGCAATGAGCCTTTTTTTTTTTTTTACAATAAAACATGGATAATGCAGTCATCCAGCTTTGCTAATTATGTCTCACAGATGCGAAGGACAAAGCAGTATACAAATGTGTAGGAGGGGGAGGAATTACAAAAAGCGTTGGGGAGTTTCATGCCTGGGGAGGAAGGGAAGGAGAGAGGGCTTGAGTTTTCAGGATGAGTCTTAGGAGAAGCACTGTGACAGCAAACCCCTTTAAGATAAAAGAATTTAGTCTTAAAAGGAAAAAAGGTTTAAAGAAATCAGTGTATCAGTTATTTGGAACATGAAACTAGATGGGACAGTCTTCAAGTCCTGGAATTGGACAAGGTAGGCAATTTGTGGTTCTCACATCTGTGTGCCTGTGAACGCAGCTGGCGTGAAAATCCAAATATATCCCACCTCTTCAAAATGTCAAAGCTGGTGCTTGCACCAGCGCTGGGCCCGTGAGGAGGTGGGATTTGTGAAAGCACCTGAGCTGGGTTTCTTGTTCCACCTAACACATATCCGGCGGTTGAGCACGACCTACGTTACCAAAAAGCCGTAACAACAAGCCAAAGTGGAATCCTTACCTTTAACAAACACATAAATCTTGGCCATGAGATCCTCTTTAGATGGGGAGGTGTCATGAATGCAGGTGAAGTAACCAGTGTCGTTAGCGTTGACTTTCCTGACGACCAGCATGCGGCAGCTTTGCCGCGTGTTATTGCGACAGCTGCTGATGTGCACCCGGGGGTCTTCCTTCTGCTCCCCCCGCAGAAGCCAGCTCACAGAAGGTGCTCCCCTGTCAACACAACGCACCCAAAATCAAGATGGAATCATGACTTCAGGCAAAATTTGGACATCCTTCTGGCCAACTGCTGTCGATGTTCCCAGTGTTCCTACTCTTGGCATTTGGAATTGAAGAATTAATGTTGCTGGGAGCTTGCTTTTCCACCCGTAAGGAATTAGGGTGGATCCCCAGAGCAGAGGAGATTCCTGGAATGGTCTGTGGGTACTGCAGTGAGCTAGCTCCTGGAGGAAAGCTTAATTTTTGTTTTAACAGACTTCCTGAACACGAGTTTGTTCTTATAACACTATATTTTAGCCACTTCAAACATTAGGAAGCACTAGATAAAATTGTATGTTTCTTCCAAGCTGAGGACTTTGCATATATTTAACAGCTAAATCAACTTATACTTCTTATACTAAGGCTGCACAGAGAGAGGAGAACATTTATGTAACTTTGCATCACCTTTCTCGCTTAATCAGCAGTGACTCAATCTTGATTTTTGTGAAGGGTCTGCAACTAATCAGATTACAAATCTTAGAATATCTGCTCGAGACACTTTTTTTTTTTTTTTTTTTTTTTCAATTCCCCTTGTCACAGCAGTCAGAACATAAAGCTATCAGGGCAGATGAGACACCGTTTCACCCACCTGACCCATTCGTTTTCTTAGCTGTGATCATAGCTAATGTCAAATGCAATTCGACGGAGTTCACCAACAAAAAACGAGGCCTTTTTGCAACCTTGGAGCTTGAGGGCCCTGCGGATGTTCTAGCACATGCTGGACATGCTTATGAGATGGAGCTACGGTCTTTTTGTGGCAAGCTGTTTCTTGGTGGTCGGGGTGGGAACTGGTGGGGCAGGGGGGTAATTGTCTGTGGGTTTTTCTGGGGAAGAAGTTAGTATTAGAGGGAGGCAGTTGTGTTTGCAGAGAGAAGCCACTCTTCAAAAGGACTCACCCCTTGTCACTCAGTGAGTTGACCCAACAGCGTTTGCTGAGCTGAGGAAGGAGTAGGAACCTCTGGATTTCCCCAGCTGAGCGTGGCCAGGGAGAAATCCTGTCTAGACGCATCAACTCAGCATAGAGATGCTAATACCAAACGTACCTAACAAGCAAGCTGTGTGAAGTCACCAGTTAGTTAATTAACTACTCTTTCCATGGCAGTGGCTTAGTAGTGGCGCAGTAGGGGCAATAAGGGAACACGTTTGCTGGCAGATTTAAACAAACATCCTCTTGGCCCCCGTTTCTGCCCGTCCTTTTGTCGCCTTCCTGAAGATGATGCGGCCGCGGGGCTGAACTCTTGAAGTAATTCCCAGCACGTAGCTGAGCACGAGCACTGGGAAAAGTGTGAATATCCTCCCTGGTGAACAGCCTCACCCTCGCTTTTGGATGCACTTGGACGCCTCCACCACGTCCGTCCTAGCAGCTTCCTGTCCTTCAGGGCGCTGGATTATTTTCTGACGCGGAGGTCCCTACCCAGGG